TGTGACCGTGGCAGCGGAGGGGAGGCCTGCGGCCGCGGAGGTGGAAGGTGTCTGCACTAGTGAGACAAGGAGATGGCACGGCCCTTGCTGCAACCCAGAAAACTACGGAAAGTTGCTGGATAGGGGAGTAGAAGAGAAGGACCCTTGTTGCAAGGGCCCTTTGGGCAGAACAGGGCTTAGTTTTTAAATGTTAGTTTTCATCGGTTTCACCCTACAGGTTGAATTCCTCTAGTTTGAAGAATTCTCCTGTTCTAGCTTATTATTTGGGGTCCTAATAAAACGTAGCTTTGGAGGTCAGAAGGTGTATTGTGTGTTCAGCTTGAAGAAATGTGACCCTCTGGCTGATGGAGGGTCTGACGATGGTGCCGCTGTGGATCTACTTTGCTGATTCTGTGGGGGAAAGGGAAAGGAATTTTCGAGGTGCATTGCTGTAATTGGTTTTTACTGCAGCTATAAAAGTCTCATCCTTCCAGTATGAATCAAAATAGCATGGAACTAATGGAGGGTTAGAACATGCGGGGAGTGAAGACATGAGGTAATTACAGTAAATTAGCAATAAAGTGAATTTTCTTATTCTTTGTTGCAAGATTCATGTATTTCGGGGGCAGTAACTTTTCAGATGTAATGCAGAAATAACTGTGACTGTCTGCCAAAGACATACTGGTTTGTATAAGATTGCAAACGCTTTGTACCACAGCTTTTGCAACACGGAATCAGCATGCCACTATCAGCTATGGTGTTGGAGGGTGTCCGAGGTAAACTGGACTCAGATTATCATGGTGCATCAGCCTCTGACAACCAGTTAAAAGGAGCTCTTGCAAGACCAGGGTTGCTCTCTAAATGGAGTGTTTGTAGCCTTAAAGCTCTTGTTTTTCTCTCTTTCAGAATTTCACGCAGCATGGACTAAGATCTATGCTCTGTGTCTTCGAATGAATAATGCATTTCTGCATTTACTTGAAACTGGATCTTCATTTGTCTTTTTATAGCTTTTTTTGTTTAATATTGCAATATATTGCAATATATCCAAAATTAGGTCAGCCTTCAGATCATCAGTTGGGCTTTAATTCAGATTAGCTTTTCGTGTAGTAGGGTGTGTGACGAGATAAACCAGCAGCTGGTGCAGAGCAGCTCTGCCCCACGCCGCGTTCCTGACGCTGGAGGGGCCTCAGCCGGCTGCCGTGTCCCGGCCCCTGCCATGGGGCGCCGGCAGCGGGGGGAGTCACCCCGCTCTGAAGCCTTTACCACTTCTCCTGCCCTCGCTGTTTGTTCAGGAGTGTGTTACCTTGCTGCCATGTGTTTGCCCCGTTCAGTACAGGCTAACAGCTGGGCTGTGCAGATTGCTGTCCTGGGGCTGGGCCATACAGCTGATAGACCTCCTACGTTAACATTGGGTAATATGTTGTTCCTGAGAGGAGATGAGTAAGAGTTCTGGTTGCAGGTATGATAATGGATGCGTGAAATTAAATGTTTTGTTTATTATGGGGTGTACTGGTATATTTTCCTATGTACTCTCAAATGTTTACAATAAGTTGCTGTTTTTCTAGGCGTTTTTGCTGGTAGCTGTTTTATCTTATTCAGCACTTGTGCATCTCTGGCACTGTGCCGTGGAGAAATACTGTGAAGTTCAGCTGGAACGGAGATCCTCCCCCCACAGACACCTTTTTCTCTTTTTTTTTCCCGCCACGTTTGTGCTGTCTGAACTATAAATAAGAGGTGCTGGTGACTTTGCTTTTCGTTAAACCCCACAGTGGAGATCGCAGTGGGCTTGTTACGAGGGACAAAAAAGGCGGCTGCAGGAATGACCCAGTACCTTCTACCAGTGATGCTGGACGTTTTGTATCCTGGCGCATACAGCTCCGGGAAAAGCTTCGTGTTTTTCAACAAGCTGTTTTGCAATACTCGGAGTACAGTAAAATGTGTTGACTTTGGGAGAGCCTGGCAAAATAGCACAGTTTTGTTATTGTAGCTCTGACAGAACAGTTATTGCAGTGGTGGAAGATCTGTTCATGGGTTGGAAGTAATGGTTACCTTAATAGCGCGTGGTGTGATTCATATAATACCAAATTTCATGGTTTTTTCAAATTGGAAAAAAAAGGGGCAAATCTAAATCACAAGCATAATCAAATGAGCAAAATATTAATAACTTACACCAAAGCTAGTTTTTCATTGACTTTAAAAACCAATCAGTTATTCTTGAGGCATACAATTTTAATACAAAGGGGTTTCTTTCATAGTTTTGGCTGTTTTTTTTTCCCCACCTGCTAATTGGAAAAAAAATTTTGTAATATATAAAATGTTCCATTTAACTACTACTGTTGCTATATTGTTAACATCTTATTTGTTTAAACAGAGAAACCTCACTGAATATTTTGTTGCTGTGGATGTGAACAACATGCTGCAACTTTATGCTAGTATGTTGCATGAGAGACGAATCATTATTACCTCTAGCAAACTAAGCACTGTAAGTACTTCGCACGTCTCCTTTTAAGTAGAATACATTGAACATTTCACAAAATGACCTGCAGACCTTTGTGGTTTTAGATATGTTCCATGTGTACTTAGAAGACAATATCTACATACTTTTCTGATATATGGTTTTAGTCTGGCTCTTGAAGTACAAAAGTCTGATTTATATAAGACCTACTCAGATACATTAAGTCAGGTTAATTATTTTTCTTATCAGGAGATGAGAGTTCTTTAACTCTCCTGAGTTCATTTCTGTGCCTTCTAACCTAAAAAGAATTCTTAAGGGCTATTATAAGATCTTTATTATTCACTTGTGGCTTATTCCATTGGAGCTACTTGAAAGAAATCAAGGGTCCGTGATAATAGCTGCTATCCTAACCTGGTAATAGGTAGATTCATCTTTGTTAGAGTGGTTTGGGAGTGCATACTGTAATAGCTCTGATTTGGAGCAGCTCTTCAGACTGATAATAATGTACAACTCAAAATAACAATTTTTTTTTAGCTTTTTTTTTAATTAAAGGTTTTAGGCTATTGCACACATTAAAGTGTTTTTTTTTTTCTCCCTTATGCCTGCTTAGACTGCTTAATAAAAGAATGTTGTGTTTTATTTTGTAAGTGTGTCTAAATATTCAGATACTATTTTGGTTTACTCTTCACAGAATCTTATATGTTCTTAAAATATCCTATATTTTGAAAATATTCCCAAGATTAATTCTGCATTGATACAAGACTGTCACTTTATAACCAACTTTCAGCATAGAGTATATTTGTTATGCAGAATCTTTAGCCTGTTAAGCACTGTCATTGAAAATACCTTTATATTTTTGAACAGTACTGCATAAAACATTTTGTTTAATATGCTTTCTATGGTGGAAAATCAACTTTATGTTCCTGAACAGTGCTAACTGTACTACAAAATAAATGAACATTTATTTTCAGCGCATAGGTACAAGGTTGGCTATAGTACTAAAAATTAGTATTTTCAAAGAATTTCAGGTGCTGACTTCCAATACATATGTGTGCATGTAAGGAGTGAGAATTTTTTGATTATAAATAGCAGGTAAAACCCCTTTTAAATTCTTCTGAGTCAAAAGTAAATTGGAGGTAGAGAAGATTCAGAATCGCCATAAAAGGCTGACAGGTTTTACAGTTCTGGTTGCTAGCAGCAATTAGGTCACTGCCTTATTATTATTATTATTAATATTATTATTTTTAAACACCACAGTGTTTTGTCCCTGAATCTGCAATCACCGTTGCAGTTAGGGGAGTGCACAAAGACAGCGCTTTACCAGTGGTTTGCAGAATATGGAGCTAAGTCAGTCCACGGTGACTGCAGAGTAAAGGAAATATGGGGTGATATAAGCAGACACCACATAAACAACTGAAAACCAGAAAAATAAAATAGTGAATGAATATAAGCAATCTTCAAATTGCTGGTCTGTGATATATTTTTGAAAAACCAAAGATTTTACTTTGTATTAGGAAATTTCCATGTTCTGTCATGCTGTTTTCTTCCTACCACCCTGAAATGGCTAGGGGAAGAACTGGGTGTTACAACACAGTAATAAGACCACCCAAATGACCAAAGAGAATTTGAAAGGAAAGCCCTTTTAAACACCCTGGCTTAATAGAAGTTCACATGATGTAGCAAAACCGTGGAGTCAATTTTTTTTTTTTTTTCTTCAGTTTCCCAGTCTGGCACCCAGCTTCTTGCTGTATTTAAAAAAAAAAAAAAAAAAGGGAAAAAATACACCATAAAAATCCTCAGCTCCAATGATGCCCCAGTCAAACCTCTTTTTACTGCTCCAGTTGAGAGGGGAAGGGAACCATGATGGCAGCTCTGTGCCTGTGGAAGATTCATTCTGCAGGTGGGCACGTGTCCGTCTGCTTAACATGATTTGGAATCATACTCTTCAGCCTACATTTGGATCCTCTTCAGACTTGTTTTTGTTAGGCTGAACATCTCAACTGATCTCTATAGATATGATATGACAAGAGGAGGTGTCAGAATCACACTGCACTGATCTAGACCACCTTATTTCTGTGTTCAGATTCCAGGCTCTTTGGAAGGCATTACAGAACAACAGATATAGTATGCTGGTTGTGAGAAACTTTAACTTTGTTAAAAATTCATCAGTTTATTCCAAACCTTTTCATGAAGTAATAGTCATCTTGATGGTGTCCTCACTTGAAAACAGTTTATATCGTTCTCCTGGGCAAGGGTAGGTAGCAATAGCAGACATTCTTAGTGGCATTTGGATGTCCCAAAGAATGTCCCCAAACTGTGAATGTAGATAGTAGATTGCAGGTCAAGTCCAAAAAGACAATACACAATTTCACTTTCTTCTGGTTATTTTTTCAGTCTGCTAGCATTACTTAAGATATAGCTGAATGAAATTACTGGCACATCATGTCAGATCCACTTTTGATATAGGACTGGATTAATTTTCACTTGCACTAGTGAGTTCTGATAAAACAGAAAAATAGACCTGTTTTTTGAGGAGCTTCAGTGAGAAATGCTACCTGCTTATCCTTTCATAAACAGAACAGGACTGGTGCAAGACTTGCCTCTTTACAGAGCAATATAGTTTAGAAAGTAGATTAAACACTTCTCGGTATCTCCTGTAAGAATTTAATTGAATTGCCAATAATGTTTAAATGTGGTTTTGGCATATTTCTTCTTTAAAACATTGAATTGCTTAATATAATACAAATAAGCAAATGCAGTGTATTTGGACATCAGCATTTGCTAGCTTTGTGCTCTTTTACTATTGCGTACAAAACACAGCAGACTGGTACTTTGTGTTGCAAAGGTCGTATTTTAATATTCCTAAGTTAAAGCTTGATACTTGAAAAGATTATTTGTTCAAAAATAGTGCTATCAAGTACAACTTTCTGTTGAGGGAGTTGTGCCTTATCTTTGGGGTTAACTGAAGATCAAGTGTTTATGTCAGTTCGTGAAGACTGGGTTGTGAAGTCACCTTCGAGTTATCAGCTCTGTTTCGGTTCACTATCTCAGGGCAGTGACGGATAACAAAAGGCATAATTCAAGGCCTTGTTCACTTTCTCTTTGCCCTTCTTGTGGGGGGCCAGGAATGGAAAACCACGTTTACTTGTGTACAGGAATTCTTTGTTTAGCATTTCTGCCCTATAAACTTCGTACTTTCATTATACTCAAGCAAAGGATGGGTCCCATTATGGAATAAGGGGGGGAAAAAATGATGCGATGTTTAAAAAGAAGATTTACTGTGAAGGCAAAGAGAGAAAGAGAAAAGAAGGTTACTTATTTTAAGTTAAGTAGAGGGGTTTTTTAATTAAAAAAAAATACAATTTTATGCTGAGGGTGTGTTTTAATTGTCAGTTTATTTCAGACTAGCAGACTTTGTTTTATAGGTATCTTCTGATTTTTCAATTGTTATGTATTCTTTGCAGCTTTCTTTAAATTGATTTCCTGTGGGTTTACCCCCTTTAAAAACTCCTTTGGTGGAGATCTTTGTCTACTTGCCCTACCAATTACACCAAGATATAAGCAGAAACTTCCCAGCACTCCTTTCTGTCGTAGCTTCTGGGTCATTATTTGCCCTAGCTGTTGATTCTTTTATTAGCTTGACTTTCCAACCACTTTAATAATGTGATTATCACCAACCTCACAGCTTGCTTCAGGCTTAGTGTTAGAGTGAGATGGATTCAGCTAGCCTGAGGATTATCTGCTGTAAGATCTGTATGTAGCAAAAATTACCATTTCTGACTTCTGAACAGTAAACTATGAAGGAGAAACAAATTATATGGCTTTGGATTAAATGAAAGGATGAATGAAACAAAGGAATTGATCTGTTGACAGAGGTGACTGTTTCGTTTCAACTGTAAAAGGGAGACCTTTGCTAAATGTCATGCTGTATCTTCTTGCACAGCACTGTTTTCTCACACATCACCACATCTGCATTTATTCTTATTATTTGCATGGAGCTGTACGAGTTTCAGTACAAATAATTTTTTAATTCAGTCTTACTATAAATTATTAAAGTGCTGAGGGTGACTTTTCCAGGAGGGCTGAACTACAGCATTGATTTTATGCATGCTGGAGGCAGGCCCTAGATGTTTCGGCCCCAAGTGCACCTGCTGTGGTAGTCTACCAGAACATCATACTACACTCTCATGTATTCAAAGCAAAGGAATAAATCATGATTTTACAACAGTGCATCAGTTGACTTATTGCTGTTTTGTGACCGGAGGTAGGAAGGATTGCTGTTTAAAGCCATGTCATCGGTTCTCAAGTCACTCAAGCATGAAAGCTTGTCATACGCCTCTGTAATTGTACCTCACCAGTCTCTCCCTAACTAGTCAGCTGGGGCTGTGTGTTTTGTCTCAAACACCCGGCTGGCCAGTGTCTGACAGGAGCTTTCTCATCAGCCTGTCAGTAATATGCTAACTAGAGTGTGTCTTCTGCGGCCTACACTGGCAGGTGGAAAGGATGCTACACTTTAAAGCAAATGTCTAAACGTTGTCTCCATGTTGACCGTATTTGTTTCAGGTAATACAAGTCTGATGTGTCTGAGAGCATGGTGGTTTTAAAGTTCTGCTTTGCACTGGCTGTAGGTTTCTTTGGCGATCCCTATAAAAACAAACATATATGTCAATAAAAGATACAGTTATCAAAAAAAAAATTTTTTTCCTGTAGTGAAGGAGCACTGAATAGAAATTTACACACAAACATACATTTTTTGAATCACTTTTCCTGTTGCTTATATGCAAAGAGAGCTTTTTGCCCTTGCCCTCAGCTGCCATAGTGAGTCGGACTGAGTGGTGGCTTCCTATTCCTTGCCTCCTCAGTCTTGTTCAGGTGCAGTCACGCTATCCATGGTCGCTCCAGCACTGGGAAGATGCGGAGGCTGCTTTGAGAATGTAATACCAGCCACTAGAGAAAGCGAAACATCCCTTGCTCTAAACATATTGTCTTTGTGAATCGCTTCACTCTTCCTGCATCTGACCCTAAAG